TGCCAGGGAGGTCTTCGCTCAAGTCAAGACATACCAAGTACCCATCACAAACTCATCTCCCACGCATTACATTATTTTCCATTTGCCTCTCGTTTTCCTCTCCCCCACTTCACCCTTGCCATTTTATTCGCCCTTCTTCTGTTCGTCTTTCCGTTTACCTTAATGTCTTACTTGCCTCGTTTGCTCGTTTGGTCGGAATAATTGAGTATTTATTACTAAACAAAGAAGCTAAGATCTATGGATCCTCATCCTCTTGCTAATCTTTTTAATAGATCCAATTATGATGAACCAATTTCTAGTGAGTTTTGTGCACTAGATTATCTTTATGAAGTTTTGCTTGAAATTCGTGAATCTGAAAATTGTGATGAAATACTTTATGAAGTGATTCACGATAGATCTTTGAATAAAAAGCATGATTACAATTGTTTTACTATAAATTCTCTTGATGTCAATTATGCTAATAATATGCAAAACCCTAAGCTTGGGGATGCTAGTTTTGCTATGTCTACTAGTTGTTTCAATAACCATGATTGGGGTGGTTCTTCTTATGATCTTGAAAGTTTATTTAAGCCCCATGATGAATATGAGATTGATAATAGTGTTTGCAATAATATTGAAAGTGGGTTTGGAAGAGTGTCAACTTTAGATCCCACATATTTGGATAATGTTCAATCTTATGGTATTTTTGATAAAAGTGGGTTTGGAAGAGTGTCAACTTCACATGCATGTGGATCGTGTTGATAATATGTTATGTGATAGCTATTTTGTTGAATTTTCCTATGATCCTACATGTAATTATTATGAGAGAGGAAACTATGATCGTAGAAATTTTTATCTTACTAAGTTACCTCTCGTCATGTTGAGATTGCTATCGTCTTTTTCTTCTTCCTTGCATATGCCAGTTTTTGCTTGCCTTGCAAATTTGTTTGCTTATAATATGCCTATGCATAGGAAGTATGTTAGACTTAGATGTGTTTGTCACGTGTTTCATGATGCTCTGTTTGCGCTTCAATTCTTGTCTTTCATGTGAGCATCATTAAAATTATCAATGCCGAGCTAAAAGGCTTTAAAGAAAAGCCCTTGTTGGGAGACAACCCAATATTTTTCCTTGCTGTTATTAAATAAATATTTCATCTAGCTTCTGTTTAGATGTGTTTTCATGTTTTAATTAGTGTTTGTGCCAAGTAGAACCTATAGGATAACCTATGGTGATAGTTAATTTGATTCTGCTGAAAAACAGAAACTTTGCGCGCACGAAAATAATTTTAGTAATTCACAGAATCACGCTTTTGCGTTGATTCTTTTTGCTGTCAATCAATAGAAAATTTTACCAGGACTTCCTATTTTGTTAGGATTTTTAAAGTTCCAGAAGTATTCTAGAGTTACAGATTGCTACAGACTGTTCTGTTTTTGACAGATTCTGTTTTTCGTGTGTTGTTTGTTTATTTTGATGCATCTATGGCTAGTATTAAGTGGTATGAACCATAGAGAAGTTGGAATACAGTAACATTATTAAGTGGTATGTTCGCGATAGTCGGATTTTGAAGCAACGGTAACATTACTTGAGGAACAAGTAATGCTAACTCCTCGGTCCGAGTCAAATCTCTCGCAGCGAAGAAGATCACAGTTTCTTGCTGGCAAGTATTTACTCGGAGCACAAGGAGATTTCTCTCACAGCTTTCATAGGATTTGGGTTTAGCATCAGAGAATCAAAGCTTCGGACGATATATCCCTCTTAATAGTACGGTGGTCCTATGACTCAATGAAAGAAGAAGAACAACGAAACAAATTCTACGTCTTCATCTCGTCTTCATTCTTCCTCGGACGTAGTCATATTCTTCGAACTGGCACCGAACCAATGGCTTAAACTTTAGAAATTTTTAGGGGTCACTCTTGTTAGCTTTATCTTCGGTGATAACCTTCCCTGCTGCGCAGGGAGATTATCTTCGTCGTTTGCATCAAACTCCTTGATACTTCAGGGACCTGTTACTCTGTGTGCACTAGCAAACACATAAGTATGCTGCTTATGTCAACAAACTCCAAAACATAAGGGGCATATCATTGCACCAACATACGCTCTCATCGGGCGACGAGGAGCAAAAGCCATCCCAGCTCGCCGCATCGATGGACGAGGAGTTCGTAGTGCAGATAGAGGAGGTGTTGCATAGGTTGTTGGTCGACTAGGGTCTGGCACCATTGTCTCTGTCGCGCAACCGCGACGTTCAGAATGTACGCTACCGCGTGAAGAAGGAGCCGTTGTACCTGTCGTGCAACTGTGGCATGTCACATGAAGGAGGAGCCATCGTCCTGCCGGGTTGCAAGTCGACCAACCAGTGGCGCCCGGTCCTCCCGGTCGTTGAGAAGGAGGAACTGTCCTCCCCGACATCGTCCAAGCTGGCCCGGCCTCCATTACTACATCAAGGGCACCAGTGACGCCCCGTCCTCCAAGTGCAAAGCCGAGGTGGATGAGTGCGGTCGGAGCAACGCAGCACGCAATGCAAGGCGGTGTTCGCCAAGACCCAGGTGAAACCGGCCTGGGTGTTGACGTATCCCGCACTCCAGGAGGCTTGGGAACTCGACCGGTCCAAGACCACCGTCGAGTCAGACGCCCGCTGCCGCCGCCGTCGCCTCAACACCCAGCTCCTCCAAGTTGGGTTGGCGGAGTCCGAGTGTGCCCTCTTCATTGGAGTCGCCGGCGATGAACGGCGAAAAAAGGTGGAGGATGGCAGAACGTCTGCACCGCCAGCGCGTCACGGTGGTCGGGCAGGGATAGCGCGACACCTGACGGTCCTTCCGTCACTGCACTGGCACCAAGACGACGATAGTAGCAGCGGGGACATCGGATTAGATGATGACGTTGACGAAGATGGAAGTGCCGATGGCCTCGAAAGAGCCTACGAATCACCATCCAGTACCTAGCCTGGTTTAGTTTAGCTTAGTTTAAGTAGGTTGAACTTGTTCAATATCATCCATTTGCATGTAATACATCGATAAAACTTGCTTTAATTTCCTCTATTTAGCTCAAATTTCGTCTGTGTTTGTATTCGATCCGTTTGAAATGGGGCAAATATTCACTAGCGTTCGCCCCACCGGCTGTCCTGAGACATTTGAGAGTGACTCGACACTGGATGATGTCCTTTTGATGATTTCTGTTGGAGATTCCCCACCACACGCTAATGGTGCATCCGCTTGGACGTAGTAGCCCTTGAAAAAAAAAACTAACACTCGGGCAGCATGTGGACCAGCTCTCTCTCTCTCTCTTTGAGAAACGCGAGGACCAGTTCAGAGTTGAGCAGAGCAGCACTCACGTCACCTTTCACCGAAAAAAGGTTTTCCCCCGCTTTGTATTACAAAGCAACAACACCGATACAGCCAGAAGAACGATGCTAGGGCAAACAGCACAAGCATGCCCAAAAGAAAGACAAGAGAAAATCAAAAGAAAGAAATGCCGACAGTACTGGAAGAACGAAAGCTGAAGTATCCCGCAACCGTTGCGCCCACCAGGGACATCCACCATGATCCAATGCCATCGAGTCGCCGCGAACCAAGCAACACCTTCAAGAAGGACTGCGACGACGACGACGCTGCTGCCCGGACGAATCCTAGGATTTCTCCCGGTACACGGAGGGAAGCGGGCGAGAGGTACTCCCGACGCCCTTCAAGAAGGTTGATGGCGCCCGCAGGCGTCACCGCGTCGGTGCCGGGCGAACCCGAGAGGGATTTCGCCCTACCCCTCATACCCACAACCCAGGACCAACCGGCGGCTCCACCATGCCAACCGCCCACCAACCTGCGCCACCACAGTCACGAGGGCACCACCGTCGTCTCTCCACCGCAGACACTGCGAGGCCGGCCGAACCAAACGAGACCACCGCCGATAGGGACCAGGAGCACCACAGCCACGTGGGAGGGGACAACCTCCACGGCACAAGCCATAGCAGACCGGACGCAGACGCGGGAGCACGCCGGACCCCCTGACCAGCCGGGCCCAGATCGGGCCCGTTAAGCTCCTGCAGCCGCGCTGCAGCCGACGCAGTGCAGAGCCGCCGGTCCCAACGGCCGCATCCCGCCAGCCCAGCCGGAGGAGACCCGCCGGAGGCCAGACCAGCCCGCCCTGACCCAGATCGGGCCAAAAGGGCCCAGATCTGGGCCTGCAGGGCTCCGCCGGCCAACCCCCGCCGCCAGCCGCCACCGCCGCCAAAGGGCCACGTCGCCGCCGAATCTGCGCCCGATGAACACCGGGGCACCGCCCGCCGAGGCGCACCGTCGCCGGAAGCCGCCGCCCGAGCCGGGGAACCGCGAGGGGGAGAGGAAGAGGGCCGCCACCGCCGGCCTCGCCATGGCGCCGCGCGGGCAACGCCCGGCCACGCCAGCCGGCGGCAGCGGCGGCGGGAGGGGTGGGAGGAGGGGGCTGGGTGGTGAGGGGAGGAAGGGCCGCCCCGGTCGCCCCGCTCGGGAGGGCGGCGCGGGGGGTACGGGGTGATCTCCTCTGGCCCCACAATTTAAAAACCCTCACGTCACCTTTCTGATCATGGGCTTCGGCTTCACTTGCTTACGAAGAATTCGGCTCGGCCCCTTTGGGGCGTTCAAACCCAAGCAAATGCTTCGATCGCTTTCGCAGCCCACGGCGTGTCAACCGCTCGCCCGCATGCTCTGGAAGAAGCGTCACGGCCTGCCTCAACCAAACGCAACCTCGGCCTTCCGGCCGCTCGTCGACACGCGTTGCGGAAAACCAGAACCTTCCGGCACCAGCCTCCTCTCCTCTATAAACCCACCACTTGGCTTCACCCGTCTCCTTCGAATCACACATCCTAGCCAAGCTCCGAAAGACTCCACAGCCTCCCTTTTGTCACCTCAGGTTGCAACTTTTCGCCATGGGAAGGAGTAAGCAGCCATCACCTTTCCTTTCCTCTAGCTAGCCGGATCCCCATCGTCTCCATGTTGCAGACATCACCTTTGACCTTTCTTTTCTTTCCTCTAGCTAGCTCGCCGGATCGATCATGCACGATGTTAGTAATATCTACTTGAACCAACGCCGTTGTTGTTCAGGGCCTGCTCGGTGCTACCGCCAGATCAAGAACAAGCCGTACCCCAAGTCGCGGTACTGCCGCGGGGTGCCGGACCCCAAGATCCGCATCTTCGACGTGGGGCAGAAGAAGCGGGGCGTGGACGAGTTCCCGCTGTGCGTGCACCTGGTGAGCTGGGAGAAGGAGAACGTGACGAGCGAGGCCCTGGAGGCGGCCCGGATCGCCTGCAACAAGTACATGGCCAAGCACGCCGGCAAGGACGCCTTCCACCTCCGCGTGCGCGCGCACCCCTACCACGTCCTCCGCATCAACAAGATGCTCTCCTGCGCCGGCGCCGACCGGCTGCAGACCGGCATGCGCGGCGCCTTCGGCAAGCCCACCGGGATGTGCGCGCGGGTGCACATCGGCCAGGTGCTGCTCTCGGTGCGCTGCCGCGACGCGCACGCGGCCCACGCGCAAGAGGCGCTGCGCCGGGCCAAGTTCAAGTTCCCCGGACGCCAGAGGGTCATCGTCAGCGGCAAATGGTAGGCCATCTTAATCGGTCGGTCTTCCCTAGTTTGAATTGGACGGCCAGGATCGGGAGCTCTCTCCACCTGTGGCTGCCTTGTGGTTGCCGGGTAGATCTCAGCCGTACGAACCGTTTCCTTCTTGCAGGGGATTCACCAAGTTTAAGCGCGAAGAGTATCTCAAGCTCAAGAGCGAGGGCCGCATCGTCCCCGATGGTGTCAACGCCAAGGTAATCATCAGCACTTCACATACCCAGAGTTGATCAACTCCGTACGCCGAGAGGTCAGGTGTTTCCAGTATGATGATGATGAACAAATAGTTGAAGTGTTTCGTTTGTCTGTGCAGTTGCTGACTTGGCACGGGTCGCTCGAGGGACGCCCGCGAGGAAAAGGTGTCTTTCCACCCTCCGTCGCCGAATCGGCTTGAAGATTACAACCTCCCGTTACGTGTCAGCCTTCGTCGGGTCCGGCCTGAATATCGAGTCTACCATGCCATATGTTGTGACAGGAGCTGTCATACGCACGTCCAGCTAGCTTTATGTATGCGAGTAAACGGATATAAACATGTGGGGACTATACTTGCGATGGTAACAGTATGATGTCTAGTGTGTAGCTCGAGTTGGCAGCATGCTTTAGGAACCTGTTTCGTCCTTAAACACGTTGTGAGCTTGGTTTTATTCATAAATAAAGGTGATTTGCATCAGTGCAGTTATAAGACCATCGGGCACACGGTTAAAACC